GCCTCGATTATCAGTGATGGTCTGGAGAAAGCGAAACATTGTGGATAATAGAGGCACTAGTTGTATAATCTATATAAAGAATTTCAATATATTTAATTTTCTTGTTTTAAATTATAATATTTTTACCTTTGTATAATCACATTATCATGAAAAATTATAAAAGTCGTCACAATAATAATCACAAAAGCCAAATGTTGGTCGGTCACACTCGATTTCTCTGAATTTCGTGAGAATCCAATTCCACCTTTTCTCCTGTAATACTTCCTCTTTTGTTGGCCCGTTCCCGTTTTAATTGAATTTAATCGTTTCAAGTAGGCCCGGCATGGCCAGGTGGTTAGGGCACTCGACTCGCAATTTGTGGGTCGCGGGTTCGAATCCCCGTCCCACCAAACATGTTCGCCCTTTCAGACATGGGGGGCGTTATAATGTGACGATCAATCACACTATTCGTTGGTAAAAGAGTAGCCCAAGAGTTGGCGGTGGGTGGTGATGATTAGCTGCCTTCCCTCTAGTCTTACACTGCAAAATTAGGGACGGCTAGTGCAGATAGCCCTCGTGTAGCTTTGCGCGAAATTCAAAAACAAACAAACATCGTTTCAAATAGGCGTAAATAGTTCCTAAATTTTGGCACTTTTTCGGCTATAGCCACGGAAGTGCATTCGCACCCTATCAACGCCCGTGAAAAATAAGTACAAAAATAGCGCAAATTTATGCTTGGGAATTATTATGTAAAAGCCTTTGTTAAAACAGACTGAAGATACCCATTATCTGTAGGGAAGAGGACAATGCGTAACTGGGCGACAAGGATGACTAATGTCTTTCTTTAAACCAGGCCTCGACAAATAATTTCAGATCTAGGAGCCAGCCCCAAAACTCAGAAGCCTGGTGTGCCTAACCTAACTTCACTACTGTTTGTACTGGGAAATGGAGGTTACACTAGTGCCTAGATTATCTGCTCCTTCGTGATCCTCTATTACCTGTGGTTTTTTCTTTTCCATAAATTTTCTCAAATAAAGTGCGCCATTACAACTATAAACAATAAATTACATGTGTTGGAGAAATTGTCGCTCAGAAATTAATTTTAGTTGCAAAGCGTTCAGGTGTTGCATGATATCCGGGGTTTTCGCAGGCAGGATCTGTCGGCCTGTTCAAGCCTAGCCTTGCTTCTTATTTTGAGCTGTTAAGACAGGAATACAAAATATTTGTAGCTTGGTTAACTTTATTTAATTAGGTATTAAAAACACAGTATACAAAAACATACAAAATACACATTAAGTTTCTTAAGGATTACATTCAACTTCAATTGTCGTCCACTGTTCTACGCTGTGTCCTTTAACCCCAGATGCATGTTCAGGTTGTGTTGGGGAATGGGACAGCGGGAAGTTTATGGATTTACAACGCTAAAATCCGGGGTTCGATTCCCGCGGTGGGCACAGCTTTAAAAACAAATCAAAATCAAAGAAAGACATTAAACACTTTTAAAAGTCTGTCTGGGGTACAAAGAGCCTTATAACATTTAATAATAATAACAATAATGATAAATTCATTAAGCTGACGTCTTTATCCAAGACAATTTACAAGATTATTAATCATTAAAATACAGTATGATATACATACAATGTTACACAAAGACATAAAGTAGTAATCCTTATATCACATAAAATATCATTAAAAACGCACATCTCAAACTATCCAGAAACGACTGTAGTATTAATAAAAGTTCACACCCAATTTAAGCCAAACTTTATCAAAATGAAGTTTAAATATACCTACAGAATAATTATATTGAAAGAAAAGGCGAGCTTCTACTTAGTTTTTCTTTCTATTTTTAGGATATTGTCGACTGCGAAACGAGATTTTGTCAGTTTTCCAAAAGCAGACTGTAACATTTTGTTTTGTAACACTTGAATTTGTGCCGGTTGCCACTCTTCTCTAGGTAGCCTGATCAACATAGTAACAGTAACTAGGGCTTTAAGAGGAGAGCGGAGTTAACGTCGGTTTTGCAAACGGTCAATTCCACTAGGTAGATTGATATATATGATGAGGATTTACAAGTATTTGTAGACCACAGATAATACGGCTACATCACTTATCTACGTAAAAGAAACGTTAGTTATCTAAATTGTAGGTATCTATTTTGTATTTATTTTAACAAACACACTTAACTACAGCAAGCGAAAATAACATCTATGTTAACCAAGAGAGAGAGAATGGTAGAAATTAGAAAACAACTTTTAAATTACCTTTTGTTTTATTCTTTGTTTTAAAATCGTACATAGCTTCAGTAGCTCCGGCGGAACTTTGTACAATGACTAAGAGTTCGTACCAAGTAGCCACAGACAAAGACTGGATCGGAAAGGGGGATCTGTTGTTAAACGGGAAGTCCTCAGCTAGAGTCCTCCAGTGGCTGCGAAACTTCTGCCTGAGTTTCACCGTATAGGAATTAATGGAGCAGCCGCCATCTTGCCATTTGGAGAAATTTAGATATACGGTGGTTGTATTGACAACAATGAAATCTTCTCGAGTTGGTGATATAGGAGCTGATAGAAAAACAGAATGAACTGAATAAAAATGCAATTTTACAAAATATTTCGTCATGTGTTTGTTTATTAGAAACACTTCTATATATAAAATTTAAATTATTATTAGTAGTATAATGCAAGTATTAAAAATGCTTTAAAATATATTATGTGGTAAGTCAACGTAAGAAAATAATACAATCAAATAGAAATAAAAATTACCCCCAGAGAGCCATTAACTTAAAAGGGTTAAAACAAGAAAATACTACAGCACAAGGCGTTAGTTTACAAAATGTTTATTTGCAATTGTTTCAAAATATATTATGTGGTAAGTCAACGTAAGAAAAGAATACAATCAAATCGAAATAAAATTACCCCCAGAGAGCTATTAACTTAAAAGGGTTAAAAAAAGATAATACTACAGCACAAGGCGTTAGTTTACAAAATGTTTCAAAATAAATTGCCGTAAAATATTTGAAACCTTATGCACAGTCGCTTTTGAGCATTTTCCAGAGAACTTAGTCAATACATGCTAAACAGAATGATACACAAAATTTAATACCAGCTCCTGCTGTTCTGATGTTTAGATTGTTACTTGGTTCGCTCCTACCGACAGTATTGTGTGACGTCATAAAAAACTGATAGGTCGCCCCACACTTCAGATTTGGTACTGTGTACTGATTCTGGTGAGTTGCTATGGGAACAACTATCCAACCCGATTCGTTTTCATCTCGGTAATGAAGCGTGTAGTCTGAGAAAGAAGAAATACTGTAATTACTTAGAGACAGTAGCAAATATACCAATTAGGTTAAACGGAGCAGAAGAAGAATATAAAGTAAATTAAACCGAGCAGAAAGAGGATAGAATAAAAAAAAACAGAAATGATACCAGCTGTCGAACGAAACACTAAGCTTGATATATAAAAAATTAGCTGTAGACAGCTGTTATGAAATCAATAAAACACACAACTTAATTTTTTAAAGTTTGTATTATCTAAAAGTCACTTGTTATTTCCTTTCGTAACTATATTTATTTGTTAACAGTCACTAAAATATTTTACATAAGATTATGTATATAATATTTCAGACTGCCTTGGCAATTCTATTGTGTTTTGTATGTTGTTTTTTTTTACAGTAACTTAACGAACTTATTAAAAGATGAAAAGAAAATGAAATAGTTCCTGAATTTTTATCTTTTTCTTATGAGTAACTAACTATGATTTTCGAAACTACGTTTTTTTTATGATATCTCTACCTGTTTTGTTCTAAAATGATATTGTAAGATGTAATCGAAGTTTGAATCGATACAAAAATGTTATCGATTGAAACATTCCGAATTTTCGTTAAAACACTGATATTGAGTTTTAAAAATAATTTTCGTGAAAACATTGGTATTGAGTTTAAAATAATTTTCGTTCAAACATTGATATTGAGTTAAAATGATAATAATACAAAATAGCGCATGTTTCACATTTTGATACAAAAAAAGAAGTTGCACAAGAATGGATTATGCGTTTGAACTTACCTTTCTTCAACTTCGGATTTCTGATCTGAATAGTATATCAGATCAGGAAAACATAGTCTAAAATCTTTATTTTTTTTCACGAAGGTTTTTTTTTGTTTCGAAATTTCGAGCAAAATCACACAACTTATAACTGCGGATAAACATCTTTAATAATCAACTAGTAGAAAGCGGTAGCTAGTCAACAGCACTAACCGCCAGCTCTTGGGCTACTCTCACCTGATCGAATAGTGGGATTTGACCATTACTTTTATAATGCAACCACAGCCCTAAAGTACAGAGAACGTTTCAGTGAAAATAGATCACGAACCACAAATCACAGTCGTGCAAGTTAATCACTAGTCGACACCTGGCCTAATCATAACTTAAACCATTAACTTCTACTGACGTATTACAAACTTAAAGCAATAAAAAACGAACATATGAAAGAGGAGAAATATGTTACGAAAGTAGACGTTGGTAATAATTTTACAATATAAAATATTAAATACAACGCTCAGATTTGTCATCAAGGTACCGTTACGAAGATTTACCTTGTTTTTTGTTAGTTTCATTAGAGCAAAGCTACACAACGGGTTATTTGCGCTTTATACACCGAAAGAATCAAACCCCGAATTTTAGCGCTATATGTCCGTGAACTTACTGCTGATCGACTGGGGGGACTGCCTCTTTGTTAAGCTTGTTCTAGATTGTTGGTTTTTAGCACAAAGCCACACAACAGACTGTCTGTGCTTTTCCACCACGAGGAATCAAATCCCATATTTTAGTGCTGTAAGTCCGTAAACTTACTGCTGACCCACAGGGAACGTTGTTCTTGGTGTGGGTAATTTTAGTTTTTCTAGTATGATCTAATATATTCAGAAATTGTTTTTGAGAAAAATGCCCCCCAGTGGCACAGCGGCATGCTTGCGGATTTATAACGCTAGAACCCGGATTTCGATACCCGTGGTGGGTAGAGCACAGATAGCCCATTGTGTAGCTTTGCGCTTAATTACAAACAAACAAGGCCCGGCAAGGCCAGGTGGTTAGGGCGCTCAACTCGCAATCTGCGGGTCGCGGGTTTGAATCCCCGTCACA